AAAGTCTAAGATCAAATCTGCCCTCGTATGCATATTGCCTACCTTACTGTGTTATTGTAACTTACGATGGGAATATCATAATATAATAATTTTATTTTTGTTTTGCGTTTATGTCTTCTTCAGTTTTCAATGGGCCGATACAATTTTAAATTTTTTTATGGAATCTTTCATCCTTTCTCTTTTATGCGCATCCTCTAATTTGCATTTTTCTGTATTGTTTACATGTAAAAATCATTCGAATTGTGATAAAACTGTAAAATGTGAATTACTTCTTGTGTACCTACTCGTCTTTCACAGCCTACTGGTTTGTTTAAAATGATACGCAAAAAATAATGTTTTAAGGATGAGCGTCGGCAGAATTTGGATTGGTTCTATTTTGCAAATTAATGTGAAACCTAATTTGCAAATTCGTTTTTAAATCGTTGAATTTTATGTTTTGAATTAAATAAGTTAAAGAAAGAGACCGTCCGTATTACCATTTGGACAAGGCGAAGTTCCACCTTGGATGATCCCGAAAATGAAAACCTTAAAACTGGCGGAATACGTTAAAGAGGATACCCCATTAACAATATACAGAAGCAACTTTCTTGCCTTTATGGAGCATCGGGACTCAACCATCATCTACACTGATGGATCACGCACAGCATGGCCTAATAAGAATTATTACGCCATGACGCACAGAATCAGAAGTAGGATGCGCTGTATCCGTGGACTACACGTCACACGAGTGGACACTTCCGCCTATGACAACTGTATACGGAGCAGAACTGTATACATTGTGGCAGGCTCTGCTGTATTGTCTAATAAATAGAGGACACATGTTTCTGATTGTTTGCGATAGCCTCAGTGTTATGGCCGGGATACGGGCCATTTTTCCCCGTGATCCTCTTATTCTGAGAATCCAAGCAATGTACACAACTGTGACGAAGTCCGGTAAGGTAGTGGAATTTGCGTGGATACCCAGTCATGTAGGAATACAAGGAAATGAACTGGTTGATGCGGCAGCAAAACGTGCAACAAGAGGAACCCGAGTAGACGTCCAGGACCTAAGACCCACGGATCTTAAAGCAGCCCTGAGGCTGGCCGTGGGAAGGACGGCGGAATGGATTCCGCCACTTAAGCTGGATTCACATGCATACGCAATCCGACGATACTGTAATCCGAAAGGCGAATGATTGGTCAACAATTTCAAATTTGCTTGACATTTGAAATTGTTGATCAATCATACGTCTTTCGGATTACAGTATCATCGGATTTCGTATTCATGTGAATCCAGCTTTAAGCTAACACGAACTGAACGCGTGAAAATACAAAGGCTGCGGATAGGACATACTGGACTCACCCACGCTTATATACTTCGCGGAGAACCTCCTCCGACGTGTCATTGTGGTGAACGGATAACGGTCGTCCATATCGTATGTACGTGTCCAAATTTTGTCCAAACAAGAACAGCGTTGCAAATATCACCAGACCTACAGGAGAACTTGCGGGAGTAGGAGAGTGCTAGATTTTCTGAAAGGAAATAACTTATTCAACATGATTTAACTAACATATTACACATATCTAGAGTAGTGATGATTGGCGATGGCGGTATAAGTAAAAAAAAAGGCCAATGACCAAGGATGTCGACGCCTTGGAGGGGAAAAAAAGAGACCCTGTAACTTGTTAGCAGTAAATATTGAATTGCGTACAAAAGGCGATAGGGAATTCGCAATGATGCCTGCTTCGTTTGGATATGCAAGACTTTGGTCTACTGGGGAACCGGGCACAGCTTATAACAAAATATTCATTACTCAGATAAGAAAAGAAGTATTACCGCAGATTATGTTACGCCGTAATGGTGCGTTTTCACACTCATGCAATTTGCGTAAATTGAATTGTGCATGCCAATTTGTGCAAATTCACTGAACTCATGCATCCATTTTCACGGTTCAAGTTTGGTGCACAAATTTGTCTACAGTACAGTTCAGATTATCATTGTAAACGATGGACTACGAAGAGGAATTAATAGCAATAGTTGGTGTTTGTTTAATTAAAAAGTTCAAAGTGCTAAAAGACAAAAAAGAAGAAGATCGCAGAAGACAAGGAAAGGATTTATAAAGCTCAATAACCTGTATCACGAACTCTTTTTCTTTCTTTGACATTATTATCACAAACAAAACAACGTACAACAAACCATGTGCACTCGGAACAACAATTCTGTTTTCACCCTCTACGCATGCGTCCAATTGGTGTGTCGTTACACGTTCATGCATTTGCATCAACCACATGCAAAATATCTGACCATCCAGATTTTACTCAAACCAAATTTTCTGGCTTGCGCAAGTAAATAATTTTCGTTTTCATGCACCAATTTACTTGCACAAATTGGCATGCACAAGTCAATTTGCGCAAATTGCATGAGCGTGAAAACGCACCAACGGTAATGAGAAAGTAATATACATATACCGGGTGAATATTCCAAAGCCGAACCGATATTCCATATGTCGATTTTTGATGTGTCCATTTATCTGTGTTGAATACATATTATGATTTCAAGTGAGTACAGAAATTCATATTTAAAACGTGATTTCGTCTACATTTAAACGTCTGTTACTCTCTATGTCTGTAAGTGCATTATATAAACTATCTACACATAAAAGCGTTCCTTTATTTGAATACAATTTTTAATTCTCACATCGCTACATGTCCATTAGCCTACAGAACGGTCATCTTTCTTAAAATACAACATCCAAGATAGCGTACCTACATATGAAACGAAAAATATTTTGTTAAACTGTAACATTTATTCTTCGCACATTTTGAGAAGTATGCAAAAAATGTATTGCACAGGTTCCCAGTTTTGAATATTTTTTAGAGCAAAACTTTCCACCACACTTCTCTTATTTTTTCCTAAGATTTCCACTTTTTATTGTTTTGTTATTGCAAAACTTTAATACTAAATGTCAATACAATTTCAAATTACTTAAACAGAAAAACCATACTAGGCATGTAAGTTGTTAGGATAAATCTTTGACGTAAAATACTGGCTACACCACTTACAGTTAGTGTGGTGAGGCACGAATATTTCCAAGCGAATTTCCGGTAATGCTCGCATTGCTAAGAACGAATATTCACCCACCGGAAATTTAAGCAAATAATTCTTGAGGACTTTACGAAACATTCTTCCGAACTTTCCAGTTTATACGTTTTTAATCGACCAACTTCCATTTTCATGAGATTACGCGAACGTTAATAAGTTTTCTTTAATTTGTGTGAATTTTTAGTTTGGTTTTGAAGGTACAGTATTTGTTATGGGCATGGCATATAAACTGAAACTGAAAAGATTTTTCTTTTTAATGCATGTTACATAAGCAATTCAAAACCTCAGATGAGTTTTATTGTAATTAAAAACATCAATTTATTAAAACATTGATTTGGTTTTCGTGTTGTAATTAGTATAGAATAGTCTGAATAGTATGGTATATTTTATAAAATATGGATATTGCCATAAATTTCCGAATATTCGCAAAGATAAATATATTACGCGAATTTTACACTACTTACAACTGTGTGATACTGCACTTCCGTTCTGATTGCACATTTGTATTTGTTTTGATGCAATGTAGCAAAGATCATACTACACTAGATAGCCAATGCAAGAGTTGTTTCGCGTTTAAGTAGTTCCATAAAAATATTTATAGGGGGCTTTCAAAATTAAGAACGTAACTGATTCATCCGAAGCCGTCTTCGTACGAGTTCGAATCACATCATAAATACAAAGAGTGATTATTGTCTAAACACGAGACACATAAACATGACCTACTGAACACTTCTCACTATCATTGGGATAAAATTACATTTGTAAGTGGGCGTCATTCAAGACGAGGTAGATTCTATTAGTCAGGACGTTACAATGAAAGAAATAATTTGAAAGTTGTACACAATATTCCCTTTGCTTTTTTTTAACCAGCGCTAACCAATACATTTTCCAGATTTTTGGATTAAATTAATAATTGCAAAAGCGTCTTTTTTCTTAGCATAATTTCTGAAAACTTTTAGTTTCACGTATCTACGATACTTTAGCAAATCTTCAAATATAATATCACATATTTAAATATGTATACTATAAATCTGTGATAATATGCACCTACTTATCCAGGCATATTTACATTGTAACCACTCATTTATCTAATTTAGATTTCTTGTAATTAAGCATTTTATGATTGGGATAAACGAGATATCCCGCTTAGCCTCCTACATAATAAAATTGTGTCCAGCTAAAGTGAGTCGGAACTAGAAGCGTCTGTGGTTAAAATTTCAAAGAAATATCTCCATAAATATGAAAGTTGCCATTGCGCAGTCTGCGCAAAATATGGAAAATACGAAACTGATCGAAATGGGCAAATATAGACCATAACGGCTATCAATTAGCGAAAACCCGAAGTCGCTAGGTGGCCCAGGGGCCGAGATCTCGATGGAACGGATGGACGGACAGACGGAAACACGAGCACATAAGCTTTACCTCAACTTCGTTGTGTTACGATAAAAAATTTAATTTAAAACAAGATGTGAATACAACACAACACAAGGTTGCGCTGAGAAATGACACTGATATCCCATACAATAGCCCTTTATTCTAAAAATAACTGTGCTTTGCCATTTCGCGCGTCTTCTTACCCCGCCAGGTAGTTTGTACTATTCTCATAAAAACATAGCCGCTGGAGGATGCAGTCGACTTATTTGGCGGGACAAATTATGAGAGTCTAAAATTTATACAGCGCTGTCTATCTAGTGTAGTATGATCTTTGAATGTAGTAAATCAAAAAGTGACAAAACCCATTGTACGAAAATTTTCTGCCAAAAATCACTGCTATAGTCATGATTGTCATTACAAAATGATTGATCTATAATCAAGGTATAGACACTATAAAAAAAAATACCTAACAAAGTAGACGATATGTTGTCAATTTTACATGATTTCTTGTTTTTTAAAATAAATTACAAATAAAAGTAGTAAAAATTTCGATCACTACTTTATTTAAGTGAAACATCGAACATAAATATTTCTTATGGTTATGACAAACTCGGCCTGGCGACTGTTGTTTTCCAATCGTCTTTATGATCAGATTTAGTAAACTTCTTAAATTTGCCTTTCTTTGAGTTGCTCTTTGATGACGGGCGCAGTATGTTGCGCCTTTCAAAACTCTTAAAACGATCCAGTAAAATACTACCCTCTTTTTTTACAGTTCTAAGATTGCCCGAAATATCGCGCGGGGCGTTAAATTCAATTTCTTCCGACTCGAACTTACGTCTGGCCAACCGTTTTGGTTCAAGTTGTGTGTATTCTTTCTTCTTGAGTCGTTTCGATTTTAATATCTCCGCTTTATCAGTTTGTTTTTTAATTTCTTGCATCATATTTCTCAAATTATGTATGTCAGTAATTTTTTTCTTGGCTTTCTTGGCCATTTGTATAGCACTTAGAAGCTTACTATGTTCTCGCTGTTTCCGTCTCTGTTTCAAGTCTTTTTTCTTATTTTTGACAGGTGGATTAATGGATTTGTATTCATTGTCAGAATTTTCAGCCTCTTCCTTTTGTAGTCCTTGACTCATTTCAACCAACCAGTTATTCTAAAAGTAAAATAAAGAATGTCAGTAGGTGCCTATCTATCATTCCATCATAAAATTAGTTTAACATCCAGCAAATAATAGAATAGTGAGATGGCTTAAGGCTCTGCTGTAGTGAAAATTATTATTCAAATTTTCGAAAAAAACAAGTCGCATACGATGTCGGGACAATAAGTGATACTGGGAAAAATAAGTAAACAAGTTGTAAATCAGCATATGCATGATTAAAGCGCATTTTTGGTAATGCAGGTCAGTATTTTATTAGAGAAGTTTAAAATTATCGATCTCACGAGTAATTTTGGCTGCGTTAAATAATTAATTTTATTTAATTTCAATTGACGGTACGTCTTCATTTTGTAAAACAAATCACAAGGTAAATAATAAGTTTTTATACTAGTAGCGCTATCTAACGGTAAAATTATAGCACCTCCGAAACCCATATCGAAATTATTTTCTTCAATTATCGATCTCACAAGTAATCTAACTCAAAATAGACTAGTGCTGTGCCTGCACATCTACACTATAGCAGAAAGCTTTTAGTGAAAATTTGAATTCTCTAGCTATTGTAGTTGTGGAGATCTAACGCGGACAGCCGGCCTGCCAGCAATAACGAATATAATAGCGTATTTTTTTCAAAAATGCGCTAAAAAATCGAGGTAGTTTCATTCGACAAAAATATTGTATGCTAAAGTAACCAAATCGTTCTTAGCGCATAACTTTGGAACCAGTAAAGATATTGGCGTCAAAATTTTGGAATAGATTTTACTTAACTAACCACATGCCTCTGTGTCTCCAATTTTATAAAATTTTATCTGCGTTCCGAAAAATTGCTTTGCAAACTTTCGTGTAATTGCAGAATTTAATACCACACAGTAGTAAAGTTAAAAGGGAAACTCGACACGTTAAGGCATAGGCAATTGTAGAGAGAATGTTGGACAATTTTTCCTTTTATTACATTTTTATAAACAAAGGAAATGAGCAAATTAATAAAATCTCAATTTCTAAAGATGTTTTTTAAATTTATATCTACCTACCTCACATTATCAATAGATAATGCGGTGTGATTAATTATGAATATACCTATGGCTATGGGTACTTTCATCCAACACAAATAAATAATCACTTATAGAACAAATCTTTTCCTATGTAGTACCTATAATTCAACACTGTTGGCTGTAATGTAATCTAACAATTTATAATTGTTGATTAGGCACGTTGTTATAAAACTACGGGCCGCCTTTTTTAGTGCATTTTCGTAAAAATACAAAAATGTCTGGTCACTTTGTTCGCCGATCTGTCCGCCCGCCCGTTTGTGTATCTGCCCTTACAGCTGTATCGCTACTATATGCTTACCTTAAATTCTACTTTTTTCGACATTTGGGTTGTTAAAAAAGGATTGTGCATGTGCCGCATTTTTACGAAATTTTAACAGATGGTGGTTTTTATATAACTAATATGAGCGTAGGTATACAGGGTGGTGTCTAGCGCGACGCAGCATAGGGATTTCAATGGTAATTTCTTTATAGTCAATTACTAGCTCCCCTAGTTATTTTAGAGCAAAAGTCTAAATACGTTTTTTTAGAGAAAAAAATACTGCATCTGTTCATACTTTTAGTTATAATTTTCCGTTTTTCAAAACCGTAGAAATCGACAAAATAAAAAGGTTCATTTTACAATAAATCAAATATGCCTTGGAATTACCTAAAAAAAACAGCGATAACTTTTCATTATTTGCCTTTGACGTATATTAAATTTATACTTGTTTATAAATTAGTTAAAGAACTGCAAGTGCAATAACGTTCAAAATGTCCGTCAAAACCATCAGGAAAACGACAATACATTGAACGATTTGGCTGCAGTAGCGGAAAATCCAAATATAAGTTTAGGAACAAATCTTCTTCAAATCAGTTTTTTTCTTCGATTATGTAGGTACCTACTCTGATTCCGGAAAATGATAAACAAATAGTATCTGATGCAGATGCAGCATACATTCTCTAAAAAACATTACCCTAAGATGCCTTTTATTGCGTCGGTTAGTTGAAACAGAATTAAATATGAAAATCATTCGACGTCAAACAACGATAACTTAGATGCGATGCGCTTGTAGTTTGTTAAAAGATTCCAAAGCATCACTGATTTATAAAAATGTAATTTTTTATTTTGTCGATTTCTGCGTTTTTGAAAAATGG